AGGAGCCCCTCACCCCTCCTGCCCCGGAGGTTCCCCAAGGTCTGGTGCTATCATATAGAGCGAATTTTTTTTTCATTGAAAAATGAAAGACCAATACATACTTGTTGAAAAATTTTAAACTGTCCTTTGCTTTTATTTCTAGTTTTTATTAGAAGTTACAGGCTTTACATATAGAAGGGGTGTCAGAGGGATCACCTGACTGGAAAGAAGAACTTGGAGCCCAAGACACAGGAGCTTGGATTATCTGTCCCAGAGAATGGAGGGAGCTGAGGGAGGTTGTTGTGTCGTTGGAATTAATCACTGGTCATTCGCAAAAGGTGAAGGAATTCACAGACTCAGCCTGAAATGAGGATAGCAAGGAAAGTTTTATTGAAGGTTGGGCAGAGAGAGACTGTCCGTGTTTTAAAAAGATGGCTGCCCTGGGTAGTAAGGAGAGAAACACCAGTGGGGGAGGTTTGCAATGGCAGAGTCTTAAAAGAGACAACTGCACCTAACTAGGTTAGCTTTTTCTTATATAGGAAAATGTATGTAAATTTCCTTACAGCAGGAGACGTGACAGATAGACTGAGGTCATTTGATCGACATATGTTGGTTATATAACTAGTTTCTTTCTGTGCATGCTCTTGCCCATAATGCATACAAAAAAACTCACAGTGGGGAGCAAGCCTTAATGTTCATTTTATTTTAATTGTATTATAATGAGGCTAGAGTTCAAATAACGAACAGGTTCCAGCAGTTTGCGCAGGTGTCAAGAACCAGCTTACTCTGGTTAGGGTCTTGTCTCCTTTTCCTAAGGACATCTTGATTTATTTCTAGGGGATGAGCCTAGGAGGTTTCTGGGGAGGGAATGCAGGCCTGGGCAGTCCCCCTTCAGGCTCACTTTTATTACCCTTTTTCTGCCTCTTCAACCCTCAGCCACCACATGGCTTCATAGTTCATGACATCCTTCCGCCCTGCTCCATTCTGGTTCCACATGAACCGTTGCTCTGGACAAATGAGTTGGTTGAGATGGCAATGCCACTGTCCTTGACCAGTGTGAGTCTGTGCCTGTTGGAGGTACTGGCCTGGAATGTCACCATCAGAAGTGTGGTCCTTTTTATAGAGCATTTGCTAAGCCAAGAATTGTGCTGAGAGCTTTACACACACGACTCATTTCACCTTCACTCCTCACAAGATCCTGCAGGAGTAGTGTGGATGAAAAAGGAACCACATACTAAACATGACAAGCTCAGGGGAGGCCAGAATGGCAGGCCCTACAGACTCAGAGACTGAAATTAACCACACAGGATTGTCGGAACATAATATTGTAATTCCTAACTAAAAGTGGATCATTGTGGGTAGTCACATCCTTGGCCTATAGCTTCCTTGACAAAGGTCAATGTTTACCTTAAGTAAGCCTGTCTATTGTCTTTTTTGCATCTAAGATAACATACCCTTGGAATGTCAGAGTACTTCCTTTTTCCAGCTCCCTCAGTGCACAACTCACCCTCACCAGAACACAGAGATTATAGAACCCCTCATTCCCGGAATACCATCTCTATGTGCTGTAAAGTGTTAATTATTAGCTATCCCGTATCCACCAATGTAAAAGAAGTGTGTGTCTCTGCATTTTACATTTTATCCAATCCCAGAGATTTTCCCACTTTGGTTTCTCCCACCCCCTTAATCTACGACCCATAGATTTCATGTAACCCTCCTTATGTCTCCTCCTTTGATTCTAATGTATAAAATAAGCAGCAAAACTGCCATTCTCCAGAGCATTTTCTTAATCTGTTTAGATTTTGCTTCCCGGAAATTGTCGTCAGTTTGCCTCAAATAAACTCATTTAAATTCTCTACAGGTCTGGACATTTTTTACGTCAACAGTAGTATCAGGGGTCACCTGTGTTTGACAGGTGAGGACGCTGAGGCTCTGCGAGGTTACAGAACTGAGGCAGAACCGGATCCAAATTCAGATCTGTTGGACTCCAGAGCCCCTGGTCCTGATGACCAGGTCACCTTCTGCTATTTGGGGTCCTTAGAATGCTCTGGGTGGCCTTCCATATGAAGGACGTAATTAAATTCTGTGGAATAACTGATGCTCAGAGGCCAAGCAGGTAATGTTAGCTCTGGAAGTGGTGACTTGTCTGAGCATACGTGGCCATCTCAGTGCAGACAGGTTCATCCCTGCCCCCATCCCCTATTCAACTGCCTTATAGTAACCTGCTCCATCAGGAGGGAACAGACTATACAGGAATAGTCAAAGCAAGGGCAGCTACATTCTGATGCTATGGCTTAGGTCACCACTTCTAATAGCACCAGCTGCAGGCCCAGCCCCATTCCAGGTGCATCTGGTGCAAATGATGCTGCTGACAGGCTTGGCCTTGACCTGTAGGGCTTATGACAAGTTGAGAGAACCACGGAAAGGATTCAGTAATAACACTGCAGAGAGGCCAAAGGGTGGACATGTTTGTAGGACAGTGTCTGTGAGCAGAGCAATCTTAGAAATTTCTAAGCGGCAATGGGATGGAGGGAGCTGGTAAGGGTGCTGGTGATGTGGGTGGTGTCTGGGCTGGGCTGGTTTTATGGAGATGGGATTTCAGGAGTTGGGAGAGCTGAGTATGTGATACACAGGAGATTCTAGGAGATACATCTAAGGCAGCAGTAGGACTAACTCCCCAGCCCTTCATGCTCCTATAGAGGGGAAGAAAAAAGAAAACAATTGCCTTATTGGCAATCTAAATATGGTAGTAATAGGGATAATAGTAATTAGGATGTCAAATGCTCCAGCCTCCAAAAATATGTAGGGTCCACTCACTGTAGAGAATTGACTTGATCTCAAACAGGAGAAGGAGCCCAGATGGTACCTCAGTAGTCAGGTACAGGGTCCTACTTCAGTATCTCTACAGTATTGACCAGACAAGATTGTCAAGGAGTTGTTTGAAAACTGAATGTATTAGTCCACATTAATTAATTCATTCCAAGGCTGACAGCTATGCTCTTAGTAGTTCTTTTTCTTTTTTAAAAAGATTTTTATTGGGGAAATGGGGGATGGGAACAGCACTGGGGAATTGGGGGAAGGGGAACAGACAAGTTGCTGTATTTTATTCTTTAGTCTAGTTGTGGAGGACGTTGCTTCACTGGCCCAAGTTGGCACCATCATTGCGCTCTTCCTGGGTGAGGCAGATCAGTTGCCGGCTTCTGGACGGCCACTCAAGGTGGCTGCTGGCAGCTCATGCTGGCTGCTGGCTACACATGGTAGCCCATGGCAACCCACTGCAGCAGGGGCTGCAGCCTACGCTGTCACCGGCGACTCAACGGCAGCCCAGCTCCAAGTTGAGCTGTTGTTCAGCATCTTAGCTGCAGAGGGCAGTGTCACTGGCCCTCATATGTGGGATCCGAACTGGGTTCCTCTGGCATCCCAAGCCAGCTCTTAACCAATGCGCCACTCACCTGGCCCTTAGTAGTAGTTCAGTTCTGTTCTTTTCTTTTCTCTTTTTTGCCTGAAAGAGCTTAGGCTCTTGTCACTACCCCACAGGCTCTCAAATTCCTTGAGAACAAAAGTAGCAGGGAAATAAATGAATAAGTGAATGAATGAATGAATGAATGAGTGAGTGGAATAACTTACATAGACAAAATGTTTATCTGGTATACAGTATGCTCAGTTAATTTCAAAGAGGCAGTTGGTTGTAGTGGTTGAGAAAGTAGGCTCTAGAGTTGGGCTGTCTGTGTGGGAGTCTATTCTTGCCATTTACTGATGTGTGACCTTGGGCAGGTCACTTTACTACTCAGTGCCTCATTTTCGCCTTTGTCATGGGAGCTAATAATACCACCAAACTCATAGGTTTGTTGCAAGGATTAAGTGAACGAGTCCATTTAAATGCATAGTACAGTGCCTGGCATATAGTAGGCATTCAGTGAAAGTTAGCTATTATTATAAAATTATTTTATCAATTTATTTATTCAGGGATGGAAAACTCCCATGCTTGTAGGTAGTCAACATAAATGAGTGAACTTGGGGGAGCTGAAGGGCCTCATCTAAAAAGGGGAGACTGATGTTAAGGGGTGAGTGGGGCTAGCGCTGTGATTTTCAGAATCTCCTCTTGTGGAGTGTCAGCCCAGGTCCCCGCATGGCTCCTGAAAAGGTCAAGATCTTTAACATTTTCTTCTCAAGACCTTATTTATTTCTCGAAACCCTGCTTTTAGAGAGTGCAGCCTCTTGGCCAAGTCTTGAGTAGTGAGGTTTGTCCTAAGCACCTCATCTTCCAACCTTCGGAAATCCTGTACCAATCAAGTGGTGTGTGCCCACCTCATCTTCCCTCCGGGTCCTGCCTCCAGCACGTTTTCCCCCACCCTCGGCCTCAAGGAAGGGCCTCGAAAACTCATAGAGTGCACCGGTGTGTCACCCTTCCCAAGGTGAACTGCCAGTCAGAGGAGTGACTCTGCATAGGTAGAATTTGGGGCGTCTGCAAAGCGCGCAGGGGCGGAGCGGGGTCTCCCTGGCGGACTCTGTCTCACCAGCAGGTGGCGGTCTATCTGCGAGGCCTGCAAGGTTTCCATCCAGAAACTTGAACGGGATGTTGATGCCCCTTTGCATGAGTTGCACGGCCGAGTCTCCCAGAACCAAGGGGTGGGCATCCGCGAAAAAATGAGGTGAGAAGGATGCGCATCCCTGATGGAGTGACTCAAGCATTCGGACACTGCGAGCTTCATTCCGGAAGGCTTTCAGGAGGGGTGAGTACTGAGTAGCGCAGTGGAAAGGGAGCGCCGTCCTTTTCTTAGGGCATTGTCTTTGGCTTGCATTGACTGGCTTTCTGACCCTGGAGAAAGGTATGTCTGGAACGGAGCTGCCTGATCAGAAGGAGGGAGCGCGGGAAAGAAGTCCGGGAAGCCAGCCGGTGCCCGCGCGCCGGGCACTCTGGAGCAGGAGGAGCAGGGTTCCCTCCGCCAGATGGCGCTGTCTGGCTTTCCATAGGCTTTCCGCTCCAGTCCCTAGAGGCTCTCACCGCAGCGGCCGCTCTAGCTGACTCGGTGCGGGCTCGGTGGTTCCGGGCGGAAGTGAGGCGCCGAGCGGAACGGCCTCTGGTGACATTTTCTCCGGGCGGCGCGGACGAGTGAAGGGACTTGGTGTGAAGGCTGCGGAGGAGGCGAGATTCCCTTTCGCCCCGGCGGGGCTCTGACCGCGACCTTCTGCTCGCCGCTGGGGCTTGTGCTGAGGAGGCGAGTGCGACGGTGGCCGTCGCGTCCCGAGTGACCGCGTCTGGGAGAATCCCGGCCTGGGGGTCGGTGCGTGCCCCGACGGGGCGCGCGGAGCCGGCGAGGAGGTGCGGAGCCGACGCGGAGCGCAGGTGAGGCGGGAAGGGGCGCAGGGCCGCGGCCCGGCTCCGGGTCGATCAGCGGGACCCGGGCGGCTTCTCGGGAAGGGGTCGGGTTGACTCGGAGGGGTGCGGGCCGCGGGTGAGGGCTCTGCAGCGTCCGGGCGCTGGCGTCGTGACGGGCCCGGCTGGCGGTCGCCGGGTGTGAGCGCCCGGACTCGGCGGGAGGCGCGGCTCGGGCTGGGGGCTGACGAAGAGGGCTTGCTTGCACGCCCGCCGGTGACCCTCTTGTCCTCCTGGCCCGGCCGAGTTGGCGGATCGCTGGGATCCGGGCGAGGCGGGTGTCTTTCCTCCGGGGCTGAGAGGAGGCTGGAGGTGCCGCAGTCCGTGGGTCGTGCGGGGAAGCGGCTTCGAGGCCCTGGAGTTGCCTTCACGCAACTTTCGGGCGCCCGGGCCCGCGGGGGAAGCGGCCGCGGCAGCTCTGCCGACTCTGCTAGCCCCGCGCGGGTCGGCTCGGGCGCCCGACACCTGCCCCCGCTCCTGAGAGCCCGGGCGGCCGCGCCAGCGCCGCGGCTGCGGTGGCCTGGGAGGAGGGAGGAAAGGCTTCCTCAGGCTTGGCGCCGCCTGCCTCCCGGCGCTTCCACTACTTTCGGTCGGCAGACGCCCCTGGCCAATGCGAGGGATGCGCCCATCTCCAAAATTGACCTCTTCGGGCGAGTTTGTCAACTTCATTTGGAAAACCAGCCGGGAGTAAATGGACGAACCTCAAGTGAAAGAGCCTCGTCTTCTCTGACTCTTCCCACCAGAGTTCTCTCTCTCTCTCTCTCTTTTTTTTTTTCTCCCCTCAGTAGCACTTCGTTCTGTGTGTCTCACAGCACCGACCTCGGTGTGTTGTGGGAACACTTGCGCGCCCCCACCCCCGCCCCTCAACAGAACCGCACGTCGTCCATTCTGCCTTTTAAGCCTTCCTCTCCGCTGTCACAGAGTAGATGCTCACAGCTCGAAGGCGTGAACGGCTGTACTTGCGCTCCGAGACTGAACCGCTTCGAGCAGTTGATCCTTGGACGTGCTTTTCGTTTCTTGCTTGAGTTTCTGCTTTCTGAATCCTTCCATCTAGTAGGATGGAAGCCCCACTGACGATGCTTTGTCAAGGTCGGACCTCTTCATGAGCAGATACATCTGGCAGTTTTGCTTAGGCGATTATTGTGTAGTGTTGCTGGGCACATGCTAACCGTTTGAATCACTCCCTTTCTTCTCCTGGGATATTTTAAGGATGGAGGCTGTTAACTTGCTAATGAAGTTTTGCTGATCCTGGCAGTCTGGATTCCTCCAGTAAGCATTGCCTTTTGGTTTAACAAGCATGTTTAGAGGTCTACAATTGATAGTTATTACCTGAGGTCCTGAGGAGCCACAGAGCTAACCGTTTTTTAATAGGGAGTGTAATATTTTGGCTGAGGAATCTGGCTAAGACAGTGCCTAGTTGACTGCTTTATGCTCAGTAAATACAAAATTATGAATTAAACTTGAATTTAGGAAACATAGATGGAATTTACTGTGATAAGATGTATGCTACTTTAAAAAGAACCTTAGTGAAATTTCATGCAGTTCCATTAAATGAGAAATAAAAGTGTTTCAAAACATTTCTAAATCAGGTTCCTTCAGACTACTCTTAAGTACCACTTGCAACCTTAAAACTTCAAACCATATCTTTTTTGCAATGTTAAGATATAGGTGTAAACTTCAAAATAGGTATACAGTATGAAAGGCAGGGAGAAACTTCAGGGTAATCATACCTAAGCATCAGCTAAATATGATTTCTTAATGGAAAAAAAATTTTTTTCTGACATCTTTTTGTGAAAAAGGGAAGGGACTGGCTTTTGGAGCTAGAAACTTTTTCCCTTATTAGCTCCATATTAAGTTCACAGTGTAGACATTATTCACTAATTCAGTTTATATTCTTAAATGCATTTATGAAAAAGCAAGTGTCATAATATTTTTTTATAGTCTTCATGATTTATCCAAGACCCATATATTAAAGATAGATCCAGCTTTAGATTCTAATTTAATGCAGTTCTGTTAGAACTGAGTACCCAATGTATGTCCTTCAAAGGTTTCTATTTTCATTGGTACCATAAAGTCTCCTTACTGTATGACTAGTAACTTGAGGGAGCTTGTGCAGTCACTCATTATTCAAGGGGTTGTTTTGCTGGGATCTTCAATCTTATGGTTTTGTTTTGATATGTGCATGAATAGACTTGATATATGGGTAATAAGGATTTTTTTTTTAATTGGGGAACAGTGTTTATTCCAGGACCCATCAGCTCCAAGTCGAATAGTTGTTTCATTCTAGTTGTGGAGGGCGCATCTCAGTGGCCCATGTGGGGATCGAACCAGCAACCTTGGTTCGTGAGCACCAACTGAGCTAACTGGCCGCTCCTTTTTCTTTGTTTTAAAGCTTGGAACTGGTATATATTAGAGACCCAAACTCTACATTTGTAACTTTGGTAAATCATTTTAGCCATTTGTAATTTTTCTGCATGTGACTAGTGACATGTTTACTGAATTGACAATACTTGAGAATACCTGTAAAAGATGAAAAATATACTATGATGTGCTTTCTTTTGAACCACACTCATTTCAGTGTTCTTCATTTTATGAGAGTTTGGGGCCAAGTGAAGTTTCTTGGGTAACTGTAATTATAGGGTATAAATGAAATAGATGTATTAGTAACTAAGTAAAAAGCTATGAGACTATCAAAAGGGGTAAGAGCTATTGAGAAAACTTTGGGGGAAACACAGACAACAAAACATTCAGGTGGGACCTCTTTATTCTCACCACTCTAATTTATTGATTGCTTACTGTGTGCTGGTAGTGCTCTCCTTGCTATAGCTGTAGTGGTGAATAAGATTGACAAGGTCCCGATGCTAAACGAACTTACACATTTAAACCTGAGGTTTGAGATGGATTTCCAGGTGGTCTTTCCAGGCTAGGGATCCCTACAGCTTATGCAAAGTCATGAGTATCGATGATCTTGAATGGTTAAGTGTGGCCAGTGCCTTGAGTTTACAGAGAGTTTACATCTGCAGGGTAAAATGAAGGTAGGGCTAGGTTGTGAAGGCACAGTATACAGTATCTTAGTCTGCTAATGAGTTACTTTCTTCTTTTAGGGAAAAAAACACAAAACAACAAAACAAAGAAAGCTCAGGTGGAATATAAAAGATGAAATAGGCATTCCTTTTGTAAGATTTTTCTTTAGCCTTCAGTTCATTGAATAGAATTTTATTGGTTTTATTTATTTTGGATTGATTCTTGATCATCAGACTAATTTCATAGCTCTTCTTAGTTATCAATTCCAGTCTTAAATTTAAGTTTGACTGTTGTCATGAAACTTTTCTAAATCCTTAGCCTTTATTTATTTATTTATTTTTAAGATTTTATTGGGGAATTGGGGGGAGGGTAACAGCATTGGGGAATCGGGGAAGGGGAACAGACAGGTAGACAAATTGCTGTTTTGTTCTTCAGTCTAGTTGTGGAGGACGTCGCCTCACTGGTCCATGTTGGTATGATCATTGCGCTCTTCCCTGGTGAGGCTCCTGGTAATTCACACCAGCTACCAGCCGCTCACGCTGGCTGCCGGCCACTCACGTAGCTCACAGCAGCCCACTTGCAGCCCCACTGCAGCCTACGCCGTCGCTGGCGACTCACAGCAGCCCAGCTCCAGTCGAGCTGCTGTTCACCATCTTAGCTGTAGAGGGCGAGCGTCACTGGCCCTCAATGTGGGATCCGAACTGGGGCACTGCTGCTCAGAGCTGGTGCTCCCAAGCCAGCTCTTAACCAGCTGAGCCACTTGGCCAGCCCCCTTAGCCTTTATTTTTAATTGTACCTACTTTCCTTACTCTTTCAGGACTCATGATTGAATTTAAGGGAAATAAACAGTATTTTCTGCTTCTGTGTGGGCAGCTTCTCTCAGCAGAAGTGGGATTGATGTTCAGTTTTCACACTCAGCCTTCAGGTCCTGTGGTAGAAGAGAGGAGCAGGGTGAAACTAAAAAAGCGTCTTACTTGTTTTATTCTCTTCTGTATTCCTAAACTGCTAGGGAGGAAATGTGTTATATATATTATACATATTTATTATAACATTAGTAGCAGCTGGTAATAGTAAATGTGATTTTAAAATACTGTAAAGTAATCAGTATGACTCAGATTTGATGGTTGTCTTATTTAGGATTTGTGGCTTTAATTTACAGTGTTTAAATTTTGTTTCTGTTCTCTTTCATGCCTTTATTCAAAAGAGGGACCTCATTCCTCTGCTCAGATTCTGTCACTTAATAGCCAATGGACAGGTGGTGTAAATCCTGTTACTAACTCGACTTTATTTCATTTTAAAACTACCTGGGTGAGTATTTTCTAGTTAAGATTAATCAAAATTAGAAATCTATCTGCAGAATTTACTTTTATTTGTGTGTGGGGTATTAATACTGGGTTAAATAATAAACCCATTTACTGATCACTTAGGTGCCAGGTGGGGATGGGTACAAAGATAAAATAAATCATTTCTGCTCAGGGATTTCAAATGTAGGAAACCAGATGATTTCTAAGTTTCTTTCCTGTGGAGAAGAAAAGTAGACTGTAGGAGAAAAAAGTACTTTATAACAAAACAACTATAGTATGGAGTTAGTCTTTTCCTTTATAAAATCATTTTAAATAAGGAAAATAGCATTTTTCTTAAATGGATCTTTAAGCTTAAAAGAAAATGATCGGAGTCTTGAGTGTTCTTTTTGTACTACCAGTTCATTTACAAAATGCTTTTTACTCTGCTTGGAATTCAAGTCCATGTATTAGTAAATTAGTTCTGATTGTTGTTTAAAGAGGAACAAAATTAAATCTGTTAAAACTTATGCAGCCGTTCTCACGAATGTGGATAAACTAGGATTGTGTGTAGGTAATCTAGAAATTAAAGTTTTCATTAACATGATTAACATTAGGGAAACAAGATACTTACCAAAGGGATCACGAGTTATTTTCTACTGAGTT